CACCTACTCCATACATCCAATCTCCAAAATATAACCATTATTTACATATTATTATATTAAATAAAGACATTTTGAGATTCACAATAACAAGCCCATCGAGCAGAATTGAGTACCACAAAGCTGAATATCAAATTTCTATTTCTTTCTCGAATATAGAATAATATCATTTCGGCTTCTTACGACAAGAACCTCAATGGTTTCTATGGTCGTGGGTTTGATTCACGCACAATACAATATGCAATAATAAATTATAATAGTACAAGCTTTAGCTAGCTTAACTTGGGTCTAGATGGCGCTGTGTGAATTGTCCTGAGATTATTATTATTATTATTAACTAAAAAAATAAATTAAGTAACAAATTTGACACTTATAAAGATTATTTAAAAAGTATAAAGTTTATTTAATGTTTGTATTTACAAAAAAAAAAACAATTAACCTTCTTTATCAGTTCTAGTACCCATACCGGTTTAGTTTGGGACTAGATGGCGCTGTCTGAATTATCTTAAGTTATTTATTTATACGTCAAAATGACGACTTATTACTGTAAAGTTTTCAACTAACAAACCAACTTAAATTCTGTTGATATTAATATATTTAAAGTTTATTTTTGTATTCTTTCATCAAAACTATAAAACAAAATTATATATATATATATATACCTATGTCATTCCACTGTCCCTACCTTTTCCATTAAAATATTTATCCCTTTATAAACCGTTTTACTGTACATATATTATATAATAGATGTATGAGATGAGATGTATGGAGTACATGACGCGCTTTCTATTACATACAACAAATCCTCAATCAACATACAACATAACCGACACATTTAGCACTTAATATACAAAAATAAATACAATACCTTAATACTACGTGAGTGGGGGGCGGCCGGCGCCGTACGGACGGACACGCCTACCGTCGTTATTATACTGTACACTGTCATAGGACCATTCGCATATTGGATATCAAAGTTTATCTTTATATATAAAAACTAGCTGTCCCGGCAAACGTTGTTTTGCCTTAAAATAAAAAAAAATTTAGGGGTCGACTACCCCTAACATTTAGGAGGATGAAAAATAAACGTTGGCCGATTCTCAGACCTACTCAATACGCTCACAAAATTTCATGAGAATCGGTCAAGCCGTTTCGGAGGAGTATGGAAACGAAAACTGTGACACGTGGATTTTATATATATGTAAGATTATGTGTCACGTCAATCCGCGATGGACTTCTAAACTACTGAACTGATTGCAAATTTGATTTGCACATTGTGTGCAATTTGCTCCAACTTGAAAGATAGGATAGCTTACATCTCAATTTATAGTCGCAATATTATTTTATTCAAGAACCTTAGCCACAGCGAGGCGTGGTCGGTTCTGCTAGTAATATTACAATGCTTGTACCCAGTTTGGCTAAATAGGGTTTTTGTAAATAGACGATAGTGAAATGATGCACCCGCCTGCGATAACGGTTTACTATGATGGGGGCACTAGTGGAGGATGATAAGATACATGAGGACAGGTCAGTTACCCCATCGTTACAAATCCATGACGGGGCACTAGTGGAGGATGATAAGATGATTATGAGGACAGGTCAGTTACCCCATCGTTACAAATCCATGACGGGGCACTAGTGGAGGATGATAAGATGATTATGAGGACAGGTCAGTTACCCCATCGTTACAAATCCATGACGGGGCACTAGTGGAGGATGATAAGATGATTATGAGGACAGGTCAGTTACCCCATCGTTACAAATCCATGACGGGGCACTAGTGGAGGATGATAAGATGATTATGAGGACAGGTCAGTTACCCCATCGTTACAAATCCATGACGGGGCACTAGTGGAGGATGATAAGATGATTATGAGGACAGGTCAGTTACCCCATCGTTACAAATTCATGACGGGGCACTAGTGGAGGATGATAAGATGATTATGAGGACAGGTCAGTTACCCCATCGTTACAAATTCATGACGGGGCACTAGTGGAGGATGATAAGATGATTATGAGGACAGGTCAGTTACCCCATCGTTACAAATTCATGACGGGGCACCAGTGGAGGATGATAAGATGATTATGAGGACATCAGTTACCCCATCGTTACAAATCCATGACGGGGCACTAGTGGAGGATGATAAGATGATTATGAGGACAGGTCAGTTACCCCATCGTTACAAATCCATGACGGGGCACTAGTGGAGGATGATAAGATGATTATGAGGACAGGTCAGTTACCCCATCGTTACAAATTCATGACGGGGCACTAGTGGAGAATGATTAGATGTATGAGGACAGGTCAGTTACCCCATCGTACACAAATCCATGACGGGGCACTAGTGGAGGATGATAAGATGAGTATGAGGACAGGTCAGTTACCCCATCGTCACAAATCCATGACGGGGGCAAGGGATTGTTAGTAATGTGGACTCTCGACCCCATTGCTAGCAATGTACCATGTCAGGTTGACCTCCACGCGGTTACCCCTGGAAACCATCGTGATAAATTCCAGATGAATTTATCACGATGTGCTAACTGACCTGACCTCATTCTCATCTTATAATCCTCCACTGGTGCCCCGCCAGCGTAAACCGTTAGCGTCGGCGAATGCACCATACCATTATCATTCATAAAAAAAATATTACACCACAAACAAAATTGTGTAATATCAGAAGTCTTACCATGTTTTGGTTCTTCTTGTTGAGTTCCGTGATTACCTCCGCGGCATATAAAAAATAGTGTGTAAATTTTCTGACTTAATCCCCAAGATGGAAACACTGATAACAAATTAATGAGAGACGGAGGCAGGCTGATCCCTGCCATGTTAGCTTCAAATATGCTGATGAAATTGTGCACATATCACTTGTATTCTAACTAGGTTCTTCTACTTACCCATCTGAGTTTACAAATATTAAGAATTATTTGATTAAATTTTTAATGAAACATAGTTAAATACCTGTTTGTTTAATTAAAAACTTGTCTCGTTATAATCCTGTATAAAAAGTATAAAATTACAAAAACAGTGCAAGCATTCTAGAATTGTCTATGACAGTGTTCAGCATTACAGCGACAAAGTTACAGCACCTTGAAAGTTTCACTAACATATAACAGATCTATCATGTGGCAGAGTTTATTCATTTTTTCTATAGTATTTAACTTTCAAGATATCTGTATTACTCACATTTACAAGTTTACCAATTTCATATAGATTAAATAATGAGATAAATAACGTGCAAGCACAAAGCAACAATTAGTATTATGCTCGTAACGAAACACACGTAAAATCAACCTTGTGATAGTGCGTTACGGCCTCTTTTAGATAAAACGCGATCGGGCGTTTACGTCGTTTCGTTGCGAACAGTACCCAAAGATATGCCAGCACCGACGAAATGGGCGTACATTAGCACAGTTTATACATAGCCATCGCTTACACGTATAAATAGAATAGTAACCGTTCCATAATAAACACTATTCCTAGTAAATAGAGTTCAAATGAGATTAACTCGTGCACGATTGCATCTCGACACTGCACGAACATTGTGGCGGTGACCGCACATTGCACTCATCACTACGCGGTCAACGGCGATAGTTATCATCGTTCACTGCCAGAGTCTCAAAACGTGTGCTTAATCTGTCGATTTTCAAAAATATTCATACGTGTGCCTTTCTCACATTATAGAAGACTTCCAGATGAAGTCGAAACCAACTGACGAAAATAAATAATTATAAAAAAAAACATTGTTTAGACTTCAGTTGCTCTAATAGACACTAAAAATCTAAAACGTACAGACATGTCTCAATTTTATTGCACGTATAGATACTAGAACAATTTCTAAGTAAAATTAACAAATCATTTTGAAAATCGATAGTTAATACCGACGTGAGTTCTCCGGTACTGAGCGACGGTAAGATGGCGACTGGTATGGTAAAACATAATCCTTCTCATATGAGTGTCGTACACGTGAAGAGACGTCGTGCGTGCGACGTGCGTGCGTCGCGCGTGCGACGAGCGTGCGGCGGATGGCTGCGCGGCGTGTTCGCGGCCTACAATATGGCGCACTTGATTTTCCTGCGCTTCTTGTTTTTGTGGTCGCCGTTGGTGGCGCGGCTGTCGTCCGACTTGCGGGAGCGGATCTCGCGCATCAGGTCGAAGAACACCTGCGGGGAGATACCGGGTCAGCCAACACCTCACGTGACACGACACCACACGACATGGCAACATGGACAGTACAACACTCCCCCGCACCACAGACAAACAAACATAGACAAGTGTTATAGTTACAAAAGATGATGTATCGATATAGTTTAGAAATAGATAATGATTCATTGTATGTTTTAATTTCTCCCTTCCCCGCGCAACCTAGACCCCCTTTGAGTATCCCGTCATCCCCTGGGGGTCCCCATTTGTTTGTCTCGTCAACGTAAACCAATGGCGTAGACTCCCTTTAAGTATCCCGTATTCCCCTTGAGGTCCACATGGATCACTTTAAAAACTAAGAGTTTAAAGTATTTTATTTTTGTTTTGTTAGTCCAAATCAAATCTTAATTAAGTCAACGGTAACTTAACCGATTGTTTATAAATACACACAGGCCTACCATAGACGTACTGTCTATGGTAAGCCTGTGTGTATTTATATGCAAGAAAAAAAAGTTAAGCTGAGTTTCTTGTCCCTTATTGCCAACTGAAGTACTGAAAACTGAAACTAGGTAGTAATATTTTTTTTTATGTGAATAAGAAGTAAAAAATATTCTATATGTATAAAAGATTTTGACGCTTCTATGGGTTCGAACCTCGGTTCAGGCCGTCTTTATATCGATCTCTGTTTTAAATTAGACGGGGGATCGATCGGAGGGTCTGCTGAATGTTGTGCGTGCGTGTCCGTTGGACGGGGGATCGAACTATGGACCTACTGAAAATAGTGTGTGTATGTGTGCGAGCGCGCGTGCGTGCGCATCCGTGAGCGTGCGTACGCGTGATATAGCGCGCGTGCGCGTACCTTGTCGACGTTGTCGCGCGTCTTGGCGCTGGTCTCGACGTAGGGCACCTGCCAGTGCTGCGCGCGCTCGCGGCACGTCTCCAGCGGCACGCGCCGCTTGTCCGCCAGGTCCGACTTGTTGCCCACCAACAGGAACGGTATGTTCTCGTCGTTCTTCACGCGCAGGATCTGCTCCCTGCCACCGAAATCGCACAGTTTAAATATTAACTTATTTCAATAAACATTGTTCTTTAATTAGTGCTAATTGGTGGTTTGTATTCACACACTTAAACTTAAAAATGTAAAGTAATAATAAAATTATTTAAAAGAGCAACACGCAAGTTTCTTGCTCGTTCTTCTTGTGATGAGACAGCTTTCCGAACGAGCGGTAGATTAAAAAATGTAATGACTATTCAAAAGTGCTTCAATGTAAGTTTATTTGAATAAATGATTTTCTATTCTATTCTATTCTATACATTATATTATTATATAGTACGAAAAGAAGCTACAGAATTATAATAAATTCTCATTCTTCTTATGACGAGACTGAGTTCCGAATGAGTGGTAAAGTAAAAAAATATGACTATTCAAAAGTGCTTGTATTGAGTTTGTTTGAATAAAGATTATTTCTATTAACTATATGTACAAAAAAAAATTGCAAAGTACAGTGTAACATTTGACGTTATTGATGCTAATATTATAAAAAATCAAGTTATTGTTTTTAAAAAATAAATTTTAACCCTTTACAACAGTTTTACAACAGATCTGTGCACCCCTCTTAAACCGTATTACCGTCTTGTCACAGATCTGTGCCCGCAAAACCGTGAATCTTTTTAACCAATTAAGTCCTTATTTAAAACGAAATAAGATCTAAATGCATTTGAAATAATACAGCTAGCGCGCACACCGCCTCTTCACTTTCGGTCGCTGCTACAGACGACAGACATTCGAAAGGTCAAACAATATTTCATTAATAATCATAATAATCTGAGAACAATTCACACAGCGCTATCTAGTACCAAGCTAAGCGAAGCTTATGTTATGTGTACTACACAACTGATACAAATACATAGATATTTTTTTAAAAACATACATAATATACATAGTACCACCAGACTGATACAAACAATCAAACTAAGGAATACAAACGTTTATACCGTGCACGGAATGAAAACTGAGACCATCAGCAAGTAAAGGTGATGTACCCACTACACCACCAGGGCTGTCAATTTGTTTCATTAGATCATGATGATATTAGAGTAGTGAGAAACCCACCTGAACTCTTGTGTGGCATCAAAGCTCTCCGGCTCTGTGATGGAGAACACGCAGAGGAACCCTTCACCCGACCGGAAGTAGTTGTCCCGGATGGCTGCATAGTCCTCCTGTCCGGCCGTGTCCAGGATGTCAATTTGGACCTCCTCGCCGTCTAGCACCACCTGTAAAATTAGTGTGTCTAGTATAGTACATGGAGTTTCTTACAAAACCCTGATTTTAGACCATTACATAGTATAAAACAAAGTCGCTGTCGCTGTCTGTCCGTCCCTATGTACAATTAAATCTTTAAAACTAAGCAAACGGTTATTTTTAGTAGGTAGAGTGACTCTAGAGGAAGGTTTATATGTATAATTATTACATAGTATAAAACAAAGTCGCTGTCTAACCTACTAACTACGCAACTAAACTACTAAGTTTCCATACGGATTCCTAACATTTTCGAAAATATCGCCTATGTACTTCAGCGATAAATATTTTAATAGTATAAGAAATTTTGAAATCGGTCCACAAATTTCGGAGCCTACTCAATGGAAATTAACAGTCAAACCTGTCCTCCTTATAATATTACTAGCAGACCCAGCCACGTCTCACTGTGGGTAAGCTTCTTGAATAAAATAATATTGCGACTATAAACTGAGATGTAAGCTATCCTATCTTTCAAGTTGGATCAAACTGCACACAATGTGCAAATCAAATTTGCAATCGGTTCAGTAGTTTAGGAGTCCATCGCGGATAGAATAGAATAGAATAGAAAATCATTTATTCAAATAAACTTACATTGAAGCACTTTTGAATAGTCATCACATTTTTTTTAATCTACGGCTCATTCGGAAAGCTGTCTCATCATAAGATAAACGACGTGACAGGTAATATATATAAAGATTGTGAAGGAAGGAGATCAAGACGACGAGAAAAGAAAACGGCGCTGGTATATAGACTTATGTCACATGTAAGAACAATATAGTGTTTATAAAAAATATCTATACATATAAATAAAATTGGACTGTCGGTTTGTAATATTGAAATAACCGTTTTTTACAACCTACATACGAATATAAATACAGTACATACATCAAAATAACATTTTTTACAATATTTTGTCTGTTTGTTCCGGCTAATCTCTGAAATGGCTGGACCGATCTTAACGGGACTTTTATTGGCAGGTAGCTGATGTAATAAGAAGTAACTTAGGCGACCTTCATTTTAGAAAAGTAAAGTTAAATTCCACGCGGACGAAGTCGGTTTATAAAACAGTTTCCAACAAAGATAGTTAACGCCTACAACGCTTGAAGGCAAAACTATTTAACAATAGAATTATAATTTCATATAACATACGATTGATATTAAACAATATGCGATGGCGAAATGTTGCAATAATTTTGATATTATCAGTACGTCAATCACAACATACTCAATGTCGGCTGCATCGGATCAAGAAATATCAGGGAGTTTCGACATCAGCCAAGCGCTGACAACGATACAAGATAAGGGAACGAGAGTGCAATCGCATGAAAGGGCCAAGTGTTACGAAAGAAAAACTACTCACAGCTCTATGACTTAAAAACAGAGAGGCTCTCGTTTCGACTTCATTTTGTTGTATATACTCATTTATCTACCACTAGCTGACCCGCACAACTCCGTCTGCATAACACTTACTTCACATTTATTATACTAGCTTTTGCCCGCTGCTTCGCTCCTCTTAGGGGTGGAATTCATCATCAAATCCTTTCTTAGGGGATGCTTAGGTCATAGTAGATTTATACATGCAAAGTCTCAGCCCGATCGGTTTAAAATTGACAAAGTTTCATACAAACTTTCATCCCCTATTTTATCCCCTTGGGGGTAGAATTAATCAAAATCCTGTCTTAGCGGATGCCTAACGTCATAACATATACCTGCATGCCAAATTTCAGCCCGATCAGTCCAGTGGTTTGGGCTGTGCGTTGATAGATCACTATGTCAGTCACCTTTGAGTTATATATATTTAGATATAGATTAAAAATGGCATTTTGGCCAAATTTCAGCCCGACCAGTCCAGTGGTTTGGGCTGTGCGTTGATAGATCATTATGTCAGTCACCTTTGAGTTTATTTAGATTTCGCTCAATTTACATAATATCTTATTTAATTTAAGTTTCATTAAAATCTGTTCAGGAGTCTGTACGTGAAAGAGTAGCAAACATCCATCCACACTCAAAACTTTCGCGATTATATTATTACTATTAAGATTACTATTACTATTTATAAATTAATTATTGCCCCTTATTAATATAATTAAACAGGTTTTAACACTATTAATTTTATGGCAAATAAGGGTATTTACTCGACACCCATACCTTATTTCTAAGTAACCTATAAAAATTTGCAATTTCTATTAATTTCCGAGAATGCAACATTATTTAAAAAATTCAAAAAGCTGGTAACATCGGTAATTTCAAATTTGTTAATAAACATACTGTAGATGCAAAACTGTACCTTCTTCCGATAGCTGTCCGCTTTAGTGGGCTCGTAGTCTTCCACGAACTCGTCGTACATGAACTGCAGCGTGAGCGCCGACTTGCCCACGCCACCAGATCCCACCATGATCACCTTGTGCAGCGTGGGCTGCGCGGCAGGCTTCTTCGACATGGTGGAGCCTGGCAGGAGACGGTCGCACTGCAATATAAGGTTTTAACCTTAAAAAATATCCAATAAGGGGACTTTCTGGGATGAAAATCTCGGACAGTGCGCTTTCAGAAGAGCTTCCTCCCGCGTACACTTAGATTGTGGAATTATCTACCTGCCGAGGTTTTTCCGCAAGACTAAACTAGCCCGGCTAAGACTAAAGACTAAAAAATATCCAGTAAGGTGACTTTCTGGGATGAAAATCTCGGACAGTGCGCTTTCAGAAGAGCTTCCTCCCGCGTACACTTAGATTGTGGAATTATCTATCTGCCGAGGTTTTTCCGCAAGACTAAACTAGCCCGGCTAAGACTAAAAAGACTAAAAAATATCCAGTAAGGTGACTTTGTGGGATGAAAATCTCGGACAGTGCGCTTTCAGAAGAGCTTCCTCCCGCGTACACTTAGATTGTGGAATTATCTACCTGCCGAGGTTTTTCCGCAAGACTAAACTAGCCCGGCTAAGACTAAAGACTAAAAAATATCCAGTAAGGTGACTTTGTGGGATGAAAATCTCGGACAGTGCGCTTTCAGAAGAGCTTCCTCCCGCGTACACTTAGATTGTGGAATTATCTACCTGCCGAGGTTTTTCCGCAAGACTAAACTAGCCCGGCTAAGACCGGATGTAGGCTAATACATGGATACATTTTTTTTGTAAATAAATACATATTATACACTTTGTCTTAGAAAACACCCAGACCGATACAAGCAATCATACGATACTCATGAATACAAATGTTTGTACCGTGCGAGGAATCGAACCCATGACCATCGGATAGTAAAGCGGTGTGCTAAACCACTAGACCACCGAGGCTGTCGGTGTGGGTTATGTACAGTATATATTTAAGAAAAAGAGCATTCAAACCAAAATATTGCTTAGCTTGAGCTAGATGGCGCTGTGTGAATTACTCAGGTATATTTTTAATTTAAAAAAGTACTTTGGTTTTTTTTTAAATGTATTCAAAGAGATTAAAACATTTATACCTAAATTGATAATAATCATCTATTCAACATAGTATAATGGAGGATGTAAAGGGAGGGGACGCCCTAAGAAAAGATGGATGGATTGTGTGAAAGATGATATGAATAAAAGAAGAGTATGCTCAGATATGACGACCGATAGAGAGCAGTGGAAGAGAATGACATACTGCGCCGACCACAAATAATGGGATAAAGGCAAGGCAATTATTCAACATAGTATAATACAGATTAAAAATATAGAAAAACTTAAAAGCTAATATCGCGGTATGAGCTGAAAGGGCCTCCACTCAGCTGATGCCGCAGCGTGTCACTGCAGCGATGATTTTCAGTGATATCATTATTATCATGATTGATGAAAATCAGCTGTACATAGGACATACAATAAAGCTGAGTGGAGCCATTTCAGTGCCTATATATATATGTATGTAAAAAATGATTATTTTATGTTTATTTTAATTATCTACATGTTAAATGAAGTTTAATTGTATAGACATTTATATTGTAACATTGGTAAAAAGCACTGAATAAATATTTTTTCTTTCCTTCTTTTCTTTATTTTAATATTTCATTATTAATCGTAAAACTGTGGCAGAGGCAGCCCCACTATCAAGATATAGTATTGTTCATCACTAGGCACGATCGAGCGTGGGCGAGTCAGGACCGGTGCCGACAACCTGCGCGTGCGCATCGTATCAGATAAGTCACGACCAACACCCAATTTGGTGGGTGCCCTTGACTGGATTTGAACGCTAGCCCGCCGAGAGACAGCTACAATGACTTATCTGAACTATTGGCATTATACATTTGCCAGTACAGTTATTTAAACTAGCGACGTGTCCCGACTTCATACGGCTGTAATCCTTACTTATATTATAAATGCGAAATTAGGGATGTTTGTTAGGCTTTCACGCAAAAATTACTGAATAGATTTTGATGAAACTTTACAGTTAGCTTAGCTTATATATCAGAATAATATTATAAATGCGAAATTAGGGATGTTTCTTAGGCTTTCACGCAAAAATTACTGAATAGATTTTGATGAAATTTTACAGTTAGCTTAGCTTATATATCAGAATAATATTATAAATGCGAAATTAGGGATGTTTCTTAGGCTTTCACGCAAAAATTACTGAATAGATTTTGATGAAACTTTACAGTTAGCTTAGCTTATATATCAGAATAATATTATAAATGCGAAATTGGTGGATGTTTCTTAGGCTTTCACGCAAAAATTACTGAATAGATGTTGATGAAACTTTACAGTTAGCTTAGCTTATATATCAGAATAATATTATAAATGCGAAATTAGGGATGTTTGTTAGGCTTTCACGCAAAAATTACTGAATAGATTTTGATGAAATTTTACAGTTAGCTTAGCTTATATATCAGAATAATATTATAAATGCGAAATTAGGGATGTTTGTTAGGCTTTCACGCAAAAATTACTGAATAGATTTTGATGAAACTTTACAGTTAGCTTAGCTTATATATCAGAACAACATAAGTTTTTTGCAGGTGAAACCGCGGGATCAGCTAGTTAATAATAACAATAAAAAGGATATGGACAGACTGACTTTCGCTTTTATTAAATTAAGATTTACAAGACTAACTCTTTTTCCTCTATGCAAATTATTTTTTAAATTAAAACATAGAAAGCGAGTCTAGGACGGGTTTTTTTATCGCTACATTAGAAATTATTTTACAAATACACGTCGGTGATGCGTAAACTGGTACAATGACATTCCTTTATTGATAACTGATAACATAGAAGTGTTCTGAACAATTCCTGCGATATATACGTCATGGCTAAATCTAATATAGAGATGAAACGGATATCCAGTAACTATCCGGTATCCGGCCTATCCGACGGCCTTAATACTATCCGGCCGAATACCGGATAACTACTATTCAACCGGATAGGCAACCTACCCAAAAAAATGGGTAAAAAAATTTATTTTCAAATAATTTTTAGCTCGTCGTGGAGATCTTTGGGGGAGACCTATGTCCAGCAGTGGACGTCTTCCGGACTGCGATGATGATGATGATTTGCTTTATTTAGTTAGTCTTAGTATTACATAACGAATAAAATCAGTTTTAGTTTAAAATTTTTAATCACTCGATAGTAAATGACTGTTATAGAACTATATGAATTTATTAATTAGCTATGTTCCGCCGGATATCAGGCTATTCGGTCACATGGTTGGCCGAATATCCGGTATCTGGCCAAACTGCTATCCGTTTCATCTCTAGTCTAATACAGTGTAACCTGGTTAAGTGGGACCTGGATAAGAGAGACACCTCTATTATTGAGAGTTGCAATGAGCTCCCGGTACTTTTGTATTGAATTACCTCTATTAATGGGACTTCAACCTAGTTACAGGAGATTTTTAATAATAATATAATCTCAGTACAATCCACACAGCGCCATCTAGACCCAAGTAAAGCTAGCTAAAGCGTATGTTATGGGCACTAGACAACTGATACAAATACATTTTTTTTTTCGTAAATACATACATATTATACATAGCAAACACCCAGACCGATACATACACGTACATGCGGTGTGACCGAGATTGTCGAATTGAATTCTAAGATTTTTTTTATGTTCACCTCTATAATTAGCAGTATATAGGTAGCGCGTAATCGCAGGCACAGGGTGCAACATTCCATTATCATAAAAAAAAAAGGGATCCCAATGTCTAAAGAGCCTTATACGGAAACATAAGTTTGAAAGAAAGAAAGAAATAATCTTTATTCAAATAAACTCATTACAAGCACTTTTGAATAGTCATATTTTGATTCTATCACTCATTCGGAATGCAGATTCATCACAAGAAGAATGACCAAGAAACTTGTGTGTTGCCCTTTATAATAGATGTTTTTTTTATATGAATAATTACAGTATAAAAAGTAAGAGGCATGCGATAATCAACATAGAAATCGCTACGCACTCATTATTAGTGTAATTAGATAATATTGTCAGTGCTATGGATTTAGTTTTTCTATAAAAACATTATTATCGTTAACGAATTATTCAATTTTATAGTAAGCTTTTTTGCAAAGAAACTGTTTAATTTGACATTTAAATCATTTTTCTGGCAGATTTATAACAGACTCTGGTATTTTATTGCAAAACCTTACGCAATTGCCATAAAACGAATTACTAACTTTAGCCAAACGACATTTAGGTAAAATCAGTTTGTTATTGTTACGTAAGCTTTTATTGGTGCAATCACTAACACTCTTGAAACTGTCTATATTCTTCCTGGCATAGATGATATTTTTTAGAAACTGCAATTAAGAATACCCAATTTGGCGATTATGGACTTATGTATATAAAATTGGCTAAATTTATATAATTTCTGAACCGTTTTGTATCCAATAGAAAATCTACGAAACCGTATATTATATAAAGTGGTTGAACGTATTGAGGAAAAACAGCAGTTTGTTGAAACAGCCAATGGCAATCCGTTGCCACCGCTAAAGGAAAAAAGCGAATCTATAATTATAAACATCATCTGTATAAGATGCTTGACTAATTAATTTATGGACTCACGTAACATAAATGGCTTTTAAAATATATATTTGTCGTCGTAGCAATAATTATCAGACGCATTATTTTCCCTTATCTGCTTCTTCCTTATCCCGGGGCGGATCTACCTAAGGCTTTTTTGGGCTGCAGCCCAGAGGCCGAGGATACAAAGGGCCCCCAGTCCCAACTGAAACGCTCGGTTGACCTTCACGCAATTCCGCCTGGAAAACGTGATATATTCCTGGGGAATTTGCCACGCTATGGGATAACTGACCTGACCTCATGATCATTTTATCATCCTCCACTGGTGCCCAGCCAGTGTATACCATTAGCGCAGGTAGGTACATCATTCCATAAGTATCCATAAAAAAAACACTCTAGTTCCTACTTGTAGAACAAAGATATTTTAACTTATATTATTTGAAGTTATTATACATATAAAAAAAAACTAGATCCATTTACAGTCCTGGGCATTACAATTG